GCGTGAGCCCCCCCCCCCCCCCCCCCCCCCAATGAGACACACACACAGAGCAAAGGTTCCAACTTGCAGCTGAGCAACCCAAAGAGATTCACACTTGTGCTTTTGCCTTTTCAAGCTCTAATATGGAGCATGCCTCACTTGACTTCTCTCTTTCACTGAAGACTCTCAGTCCAAGGAGCACAGCTTTTCCACTCTCTGCAATGTGTGGCCCACTTAATAGTCTCCCATACCCATGAACACACTGTGATTACTCATTTTTCAGATCAAGGAGATCACAGAACTGGTGTCAAAGGATAGATGAAGCATTTTACTGCCTAGCTTGTGGCATCTATTTTCTGTTCTAGCTGACTCCCTGCCCCAGCTTCCTGATGTATTTCATTTGCAGCTGTCTGAAATACTACTTGAAAAGTAAAGGAAAACCCCCAAAACCCTGCACAAAGGGATTAATTCCCTAAAAACTATGACCTTTAGACCCTCTTGTCCTGTGCTCACACACTGCAAAAAATAACGAGCTCTGAAATCCATACAGGCTAATCTGAACTCTCTTCATAGGCTAAAACGTGGCCTCTCTTATAGGAAACAGCATACGATAACCACTAGACATAGAATAAAATGATTGTACATGCTGTAGATTAGAAGCATGAGTAACCACTATGGGCCGTTAAGCTTTACCAAAGCTTTAGGTGGCACAGTCCAGGGAACATTAGTCATAAGAAACTTCAGAAGGCAAAAATGAACTGGTCTTTCTATTGGCTTTTGCCCTTCAGATGAAATCTGGCCTCTGTACTTAAGTAAGGTAGAAAAGATTTCCTGCCATAATTCCAAGGTTAAATGCTTTTTAGCATCTTTCAAAGCAACTTTTACCTTTAAATTTGAATAGCTATTCACTCTTCTCACATTGGTTCTCATTTTCATTTTACATTATATTTCAAATTGCAAACAGTTCACACTATTTTATTGCATGGATTTCCTTTATCATCTTATATCATTTCCTATATCTGTATTGCATTGCTCTCTTTAACTACTCCCTATACAGCGCCTTTAAGTAAAATTCTTTAACTTGCTATCATGTCAGAGAGATGCCTGGTTTCTTTATGGCAGCTTGCCTGAACTTCCTTTGTTCCTAGTTCAACTCTTTGGAAATGAGGGAGAGAGAGGAAGTGCAATGGCCCCCAGTGAAAAGTAGTCCTGGCTATCTTAGGATATACTTGTCCCACTGTAATGACATACCTAGTTACTAGAGTGGAAAGCTGTGTGAGGATGCCACCACAGCCATCTGCTCTCCAGATCATAACCCAGACCTTACAAGGTGCAATGGCTATCATCCACAACAGCAAGAGACTGGGACCGTTTAATGCCAGTGAACCAAATGTCTCTCCAGATTCTGCCAGGCTTTCCTCCTATACTAAATGAAACATCAGCTCTTCCCACTTCTGACTTCTCAGTTACATTCTCCCCAAAGAACACCTCTACCTAGGGAGAATCTTGCAGAAAAGTACCTGTTCCTCTGGAGAACTTTTGGGAGAGTGGCATAAGTCCTTTTCCACTGAACTCTACACCTTTGTCAATCAATCAGAGCTTATTTCACAACATAAGGTCCATACAACACCACTACACGTACTGAGCCCAAACATATTGTGAACATAGGACCATACTACTTACTGAGCTGAAAGAACACACTTTTAAGTTACACCCCCTTGCCTCAGGCAAGTCATTCTTCAGCTGCAGCATGTTTCCTATGAGGGGCAAAGGAAATGGCCCAGGAGGCAGCTTCCCTGTTTCAGACAACTGCCTCCACACTGAACAGACAAGGGGGCTCCCAGGGGTTCCATTGCAACGTGGAACAGGGATGTGGGATCAGCAAGGGCTGAAGCTGCATCCTGGAAGGCTCACTTTAGGAAGCCTACAGTAAAAACAACAGTGGAAAGGTAACCAATAGCTGCTCTCATTTCCTCTGGGTTAAACACTGGTTAGAAAAAAATCACTCACTACCAACAAACTTGGATGAACTGCTTTAATTTTTAAGTCTCTGCGACCTTTTTTAAGGTCAACCTTGTTCTACTGTAGTATCAGAAAGCAGGGACAACATTAATCATTAACAAACCCTGTCATACTTTCATAGCATGCTTGTCTTCTGCCTATTACCATTGCTTATATGTTTGTCTTCTGATGGGATGCTGCAAATACAACAATGTGTTTATATTCAGGCCATTATATACACTTGTGATTATCACCCCATTGATATCTTTAAACATTTCTATTGAACACAGAGTTCCAGGTTTAAAAGTATACTCTGTTCTAGAACAGCTGTTTTTCAGCTCTTGGACATGTTGCAGTTTCCACTAACGATTTAAGAGCTCATTCTGGACTGTGGGCATCTCCATGAAGTACTGCTCTGAAAGTTGGGTGACTTCAGAATAACCTGTTAGAGCAGCTGTCTCAAGGTGCCAGGAAAAAAATCCTCCTCTGGAACTGAATTCTTCTGATTCTCCTTAAAGAGCTATATTTGCTAGGCTGATTTTCACCCCCTGGTTTGCAGTTGCAGTCCAAGTCCTCAAGAACTGCTTCAGCTCCAAAACAGTTGCATAGACTGCTTTGATGAGATACTTTGCCCCTTAACTCTCTGTCAGCCCTCCCTTTGTTCTCTTCCATGTTCTTCCCTTCAAGCACCCACTACTTTCTTATATTTTTGTCATGGTTTAACCCCAACTGGCAACTAAGCACCACACAGCTGCTCACTCTCTCCCCGCCGCAGTGGGATGGGGGAGAGAATTAGGAAAAAAAAAAGTAAAATTTGTGGGTTGAGATAAAGACAGTTTAATAGGACAGAAAAGGAAAGAAAAAAAAAGAAATAACAATAATATAATGTACAAAACAAGTGATGCACAATGCAATTCCTCACCACAGACCTCACCTGCAGACCGATGCCCAGCCCTAGTTTATATACTGAGCATGACATCATATGGTATGGGAATATCCCTTTGGCCGGTTTGGGTCAGCTGTCCTGGCTGTGTCTCCTCCCAACTTCTTGTGCCCCTCCAGCCTATTCACTGGTGGGATAGTGTGAGAAGCTGAAAAGTCCTTGACTTAGTGTAAATACTGCTTAGCAACAATTAAAACATCAGTGTGTTATCAACATTATTCTCATCCTAAATCCAAACCACAGCACTGTAACAGGTACTAGGAAGAAAATTAATTCTATTCCAGCCACAACCAGGACAATTTTCCACCAGGAAATGCTCCAGTAGAGAAGAGATAGAGATTTAGTCTCCCCCTGTACCTCCGTACCTCCTCTGGAACTTCTTATGGACTCTCCGGGTGAGATGTCTGAGCAGCAATGAAGTTGCACCTCTGCTTTTGGACTACACATTTCACCAGTACAATTCTGTTCACACACACACAGCTATGTCTCTTCTGTGGTGCTACTCTCCAAGGACCTGCCATCCTTGCCATGATTTGGAGTCAACCAGTCACACGGAGGGCCCTCAGGTAGAGAGGGGAATAGTTGCTCAGAGATAGAACTTGGAACACAGCTGTCAGCTCTTGGCCTAATTGGGGTGCCACTGTCACACAATCCTTCAGACAGCCAGGTAGTCAGTCTCTAAAATTTCCTCCCAATAGAGAGGCACTTGTGGGACAAGCTCCTCTTCCCATTTCTGCTTCCTGGAGGTGGGATACTCAAGAGTTTGTGAAGGAATTTGCTATTTCTTAGCCCTCTTACCTGAAATCACTAAGCACTTGCTGGCAATGCACGGCTAGATGGATTTCAATCTTCAGAGTTCCTGGAGGTTTTCATCTTTGTAGTTTTAAAATAGCATTGTATTTTCTATACGTAGAAAAGTAACTTTTTCAACAGGAACAAGATGTGGTTCTTACTTTGCCTTTACTGCTTTATCTTCTGAAGTTTTCTCTGCTGACACATCGCCCCCTCGTGGCTCTCCTGCAATCCTGTCAAGGAAAGACAATGAGCAGACAAATGCTGTATTATTCTTCCAAATTTTCTATGTCCCGATCACACAGATTCCTAGACCTTCCAACAGTATGCTGGGTTGCATGTGGTGAGTGGATCTCTTCATCAAAGCAACTATCAAATGCACCTGTGATTAAAACAAGACATGGCTAAGCCAGCAGTTCTACAAAATCAGATCCAAATAGGAGTGTCACTGGAATGTATTTAAACCTATTCTATAGCCTGCTCTTTCCCTTGCTACATACACATAAAGCAGACACCGGACCTCTGACTCTGAAAGGTGGGATGGGGCAGGCCACAAAACTCCATGCAGACTGAGCATTCTCCAGATGACCTCCATTCTCCAGAGGGAACGAGATACAATGTTTTTACTTCCATGTGACCATATTTACCTATCCACTGTCACTCAGTCCCCTTTAACCCCTTGGCCTGGAGGGGTGAGGAGCAATACCTCTTAACAACAGTTGCATGGATGCTGTCTTAGAGAACACCACCGCAATTTTAGTCATGACATTGACAGCATCCTCTACTTTCAGACATCTTTGGAGACCTGAGAAGTGCTGATTAGGGCTTACAGCTAGTATGTGTGTACTCCAGAGTGGTGTTTTGTACAATCACAGTCTGCTTAATCACAAATTTCCAGTTCTCTCCTGAGCAGAGGAAAAACTCTAGCCCTTGTGCCCCTGAGAATGTGTTCTTGCTTAGCTAGCACTAGCCTATCCTTGAGTGCAACCCTTTCTGCCCAAACCCTCTGACAATCCTTATATCTAACTCCCACGTTAGGAAAACTTTCTACCAGGCTGCTGTCATGTCCATAGCTGCCTTTGGCAACATAGCATGCTCCAGGCACGCATTATGGAAGGAAAGTCATGCAGCTGCAGGATGAGCTTGGTACATTAAACCATGCTTAAGGGTGAGGCATGTAACTGTCTCCTCTTTTAAGAAATACTAGCAGCCCTGAAACATCTTTGTTATTATGTGCCCCCCCATGGTCTCAAGATGAAAAGGTGCCCTACTGGGTCCAAGGCAGTTAGAAGTGCTAGAGGACATAAACACACAACAGGAGTGCCATTCTGTTCTTCTTGGCCACTTCAGGAATTTACAGAGCAAGGCTGCTGTTATGATCCCAGTCACAGTGAATCCTTCTTACTACGGAACTGAGTTTTAGCATCCAGCTCGAATGTAGACAGTACGTGTTAAGGAAAAGGGAGGGTGACTGGGACTCATCTTAAGACAGAGCAGGGCTGCCATACATTCAGTTCTGTACCCAGCTTGGATCTGTGGTCTGTCTCCCATTGAGGGTCTGAGCATATGGCCCACATTCAATAAGGGAGTGGACTTGCAACTACATTGGCAGTGTGCTGCTACTAGAGCACAGAGCATGTTTGGGCCATGTTCCGTTCTATGTTCAATACTTGATTTGCAGGTCATCTGCCATGAGCAGAACTTACTGGCATTGCTGCCATGCGATAAGACAAGTCACTGGCACTTATGGCTTGGTATTATTTTTATCACATGGAGATGATCACAATTCTCTAGACAGCAGATAGCCAGCTCTCTATTGTAATTCCTTCGGATACAACTCTTGTCACCCCTTCATCTTGGCCTCTGCACCTAGCCCAAGTGCAGGGCCAGCTGCATCCCTGCAGTAGAGAACAATCCCTTTGTGTCCTAGCATCTGCTCTGTGCTTCTAGCACCACCTTCCCAGAAATAGCTGGGAATCAGAGCGATCACTAGGCCAGAAGATTAGTGGTCTCGTTTCAATCCTGGAACAACCTGCCCTGGTAAGCATTTCAGTGGCTGGTCAGCTCTAGATGATGTCCACCTACCCAGAACCATTTCCAACCTGCTATGAAGCAGTAATTTTTCTGTTCTTAGAGATGGGTAGGGGCCAGGGAGAGGACTTACAGGGGATCAGGGACTAAGCTCCCAGCCACATGCAAGTGCTATATGCTATAATGAAAATCCTCGTTCTTCCAGGGAACAGAGGAACTCCGAGAAGCACCCCCAAGCTTTTACATCAGCAGCCAAATATTTGTGATACTCCTCCACAATGGCAAAGAGAAAGAATGGTACTATCAAAAACACTGGTGAGTCTGGCTGAATCACGTCTAGTCTAGCTCTTGCATAATCTACAAATGCATGAAACACTGGAGAAACAGGACTTCTAGATTGTCTACCACCTTGTGGTACCACTTCCCACCATCAGAGATCACCAAGCAGGCCACTGTTCAGGCTGTCATTCAAATGTCAGTCTCTAGGCACAAAGATTTTAGATCTGCCTGGCTAGATCCTCTTGTCCAGCAGAACTGCGAACACACCATGAATCCTGAGATGATAATGATCCATCAGATTTTAAAACAGGCTGCTGCGCCACATGGTATAATTTCCTTCAACACAGAAATGGTAATTCATCTGTTGATACCTCTTCCCATTGGGCTGGAGGATGTTGCTTTGATAACAATAGTAAAATGTCTAATTTGCTTTCACAGGTAGAACAGTCATCGGTGAGCTAACTACAGATAAAAGCAATACAGGTGCAAATGGCTGGATACCTCTGGGAGACTTAACCCTGTTCTTTAAAGATGCCCATTCCAAAAAGGCCTTTCTTCAAATGAACTCTCTCAAATCCTACATCAACGCCATATAGAACAGTATTTTCTATTTTAAACCCAGGATTTTTAAAGTGATGGTGAAGGCTCTTAAAGGTCATCTGCTTCACTGCTTTTAAATAGCACTAGGGAAAAGTGTCCATCTTGACTATTTACAGTGGCTATACACTGACTTTATGACACTGACATTATGATCTTTACCACGCTGGCACTTGACTAGACATTCTTCTAAACAGCCTGTAGGAAGTTTGAACTACTTCTTTCCTACATCAGCACTTGTACTATCCTCGACTGCAACTCACTCAAAAGCCAGCTTGAACTAGTCAGGGTCAATAGGTACAGAAAAAAAAACCAACCTTGGAGTACCTGCTCAGTAAGAAGGGCTCCGCTAAATTAGCAATTTGGAACACTGTTAATCTGGTAGAGAAGAAGCTTTTTGTGCTGGGCGTGCCTCTTAAAAAACTACTAGGATCAAAATTCATTGGTAAAGTAGAGAAAGGATCTGCTAGGTTAACTGAGCATGTGATAAAGCAGTACTGCTTGCAATTTCACCTGAGGTCCAGACAATCAAAGAATATAATTGCAGGAATACTTGACGCAGAGTTTAAAACATGTTGGCTTCTATGATCTCCAGTAGCTGGAAGGAGTTTGTCTTTATTAACAGACCCTTTGAAAAAAATAAAGACAACTTACATAATCTTTCCAACAGGAACTTGAGATTCCAGAGAGACAAATGCAGCAAGTTGTTTTATTGTAAGTTTATAATAATTAGTCTCTCTATTTAAAACAGATAAAAGTGGATACCAAAATGAAGTGTTTTCAATACCATGCTCATAACTCCAAAGGCCTGGGTATCTTCTCAATGCAGAGCTCAATGAAGGAAAAAAAAAAAAAGAAGTTTAGGTCCCGCTGCTACTAAGAGAAAATGTCTTTATAGGTTATGGAGGGCTTTTCCTAGACAGAGTATTTCATGTGGGACATAGGACTAACACACAGGCAGCCAATATCAACGTATGGGTTAGGGACAGGCTTCTACTTTTCACTGCAGAACAACTGAGGCAACAGAACCTCTTGAGAAGAGGAAAATATTATTCAGCCTTAAGCCTGAATACAGCCTACTGTATTCAATAGATAGAAAAAGTTACCAGTCTTGATGTTAGCTGTAACCAAATCCTTGTCAACATACAGAATTGCTGTTGCGCAACTTAAACAGAAATCAGTCTGACTCATGCCCATCTCCAACTTAAAGACTGTTGTAATTTCATCGTTTCTCCAGTTTTTTGTACTTGGCTTCTGCAGAAGGAAAAATAACAATATTTTAGGATGGGATATGTAAAAGTTTTGAATCCTGTAAGCTGCCATACATCTTAAAATTCAAGTTAATTTACAGTATCACTCAGGGTCAGTTGTTACTAAAGCATTTAGGCAAATATAATTGTACAATAAACTTTTTTAAGAACCAGGTGCTTAAGTCAGGCCAGTAATATTAATTTAAGCTAAGGGGACTTGGGTGCCTGGGCGAACTTTATGAATCGCTCTATTTGCAGGATTAAACAACTGTCTTTAGAATTTGGGTCAGTGCATATTGTAAAACAGAAATCAAGCCTCACTAATAAGCTGTAGTTGAATAAAACCTGTACTAGTCCACCTCCATTTAACTTGTTGTACTAATCTTTTCCCAACGCTTACCACTTCACATACAATGTCTGTTGCTCAAAAGTAGCATAGGCAACTCTGCAGCTCAGATTTGTTAAATGGAGGAGTTTACTTTGTCTTTTTAAATCCCCTTGCAAGGGCCTATGCTGCTAGGTAGTAACAGTAGAGGACAATAGTTACCAAGTTTTTTGGAATATGCATCCAATTTATAAGCTGCCTGCTCCAGAGCTGCAACCTGTTCCTCAATTAGGTTGATTTGTTCCAGATACGGCTGAAGAGCAGCATCTTAAAAAAGCAGAAAAATCATATCTGTCAGTTCTCAGTAATTCACTTCCAAGAAACAGTTCATACTTGAAACACAAGAATTTCTCATTACATTCTTTAGATAGAACAATTTAAAATCTCCTTCCTTCCCCTGACCCAAAATCAAGCGGTGATACTGATAGCCATGTTCCAGGAAAGTATGAAATGTTTAAGAGTACTGGCTAGACTCAACACAAATAACAATACAACGTGAATCAAAAGAAGCGTTATTTCCTATCAGATCCAAAATCTGGAGTAAAACAGGACATAAATTCAGATGTGTTTTCTCTTATGCTAGTCTACATAGTCTATAGCTGTAAAGAAACATACAAGATTGGCATTGTATAGCAGCATGTCTATTTCAATGAGTTTTCTTTCCTTCAGCACCTAATGAAGTATGAACTATCTGACTCTTAGATGCTTCATTTCCCAAACAAGTGTACTGTTCATTATACCCCTACTTTATTTGGTTTACTTACATTTTTGATTTAAATCCTTCAGATTTCTACTGATGTTTATAGCAATATCTTTCATTTCTAGGTACTTCAAGCTAGTCAGCTTATTCATGTTTTCCAAGAGTTTGTAGTCTTCACTGGTGGCTTAAAAAGAATAAGAGTTTATTTTAATTAAAAAGTTGATGCAGTTTGAATTGGGTGCAGACTCTTCAAGAGAACAAGAGATTTCAAACCAATAGCCAAATGTAAAAAAGAATAGTTTAGATGGTAATAGAGGTATTAGTATAATGGTCTATAAGAAAAGAGATGACATGTTGTGAATTGTAAAAATCAACTGGACTGATGAATACTTACTCACTTTCAATTTTCGGGTTTTTTTTGAGAAAAAGTGACTAATTCCTCACATTTCTACTCTTATTCTGTCAGTTAAACGCTTATGTTTACAAAACTGATAGCACAAATCCAGACTGGTAATCTGTAACATATACCCTTCAAGTCCATGCAAATCAGTAGTGCTATGTAGGACTTTCAAAATTAGAGCCTATGGAATCCATTAACTTGTTGAGCAGTTTACTTTGCTCCAGTTAATGTTGCACAGCAGTTTATTCTAAAGCATGACTGTTGGAAAACATGCGTATGATCCTCGTTCTCACTCAGAAACAAAATAGCTGCACATGTTCCACTCAGTTGTGCTTCTCTTCTAGTCCTTCTTAACTTAGACCCCTTTGGTTTGTTTGTTTTTCCATGTACAAGCTTCTGCAAGACTAAAAATAATTTTTTTTTAAGTTGCTGATATCACCCTGAATTCTTCTGAAAAGTATTTGTGCTATTCTGGGACTTCATTAATATGATTAATCTCAGTGTTGTTAGTAGTCTAGCAACATGCCAGGGTTGAACTGCCAGTCTTGCTAGATATGATCTAAATAGGTATCATTTAGACAAACTACACAACAGATTTCTTTAACAGAAAATGAAAAGAACCAAAAACTTACTTGCAGGTCAGTAAAGCAGTGCCTTACCTGTCAGTTCACCTGTTAAATAAGTGGCCATTTTGTTGAACATGTCTTTACAGAGTTCATTGATGTCTGCCTCTGCTGGTTCCTTAGCTTCCTCCGCTGTTTCAACAGCAGGATCCTCTAATCAGGGTACAGACATTACAGGGTTAGGGTTAGGGGAAAGTTAGCAGGTACAGAAATACTCCATAAAGATTAAATGGTCCCATTTTTTTTCCGCTTCGAATTGACTACACCTACTTGCCATGTAAGTTGTCTACTTTACACTAAGGGGTAACAAACCTAGGCAGTTTCCTTGAAGTAGCATCAAGATTATTTCAAAATAATACTTTGTGACCATTTAAGGGAGAGGCACCTGGCCTGACCGCACCTGCAAATATCAGCCCCCTCCTGCACCTAGACGACAGGAAGGGAATGTGGGGAGAACTTTTGAGTGACTTTGTGCACAATGCTACTGATGTTTATTTCTAGGCACTGATTCAGAATATAAGAATAGACACCCCCCCAGTCCATTTCACGAGGGGCTACAACAGATCCCCATTATGGAAAGCGATAATCGCCGCTTTTCTTCTCCAAATCCACTTCTACCGCAACCTGCCCTTGGTCCGCTCTTCGCAGGAGCAGCTCAGCACCTCTTCCTCAGCCCGGCAAGTCGCTCTTCGCTGTGCGGGCAGCTTTTGCCGGCTTGAACGCAAAGGCTGCCCCGAGGCCCACGGCTCCCGCCGGCCGAAGCGGCGACGCGGGGAGCGGCGGCGAGCGGCACACGGCGGTACGACCCTGGCGGGATGCAGCCGCCGGGCTCCATGGGACCAGCCGGCCGGCCG